CAGAGCCAGCCGCCAGAATTTGAAGTCCGCAATTGGGATCTATGGGGAATTCTCCGTTTTAGAGGGCGATGGCTTCGAGACGCAGAGACCCGCACCTCCACCGTTAAGCAATGCACTTCCCAGGGCCACAAATTCACGTTTTGCCATCTGAGCAAGGCAGGCGGGGTCCACGTAAGCCTGCGCCCGAACTAGAGAGGAAGACGGTGGTAGCTTAATGCCTTCGTCTTACCTTCTGCCTCTGGGGGAAGTTTGACTCTGGGCATCTCTCCTAAGACGCCCGCCAACGCTGTTCTCTGTGCTTGGGTACGGAGACCGTTGGTGTCTGCGGCCGTTGCTCACACACACGCTCGTGCGTGCTGCCCCCAGAAGACGACGCAGTCTCACCCCTGTGATCTGGCGTGGTATACAGCTTGCCGGTAGCGCGCCTTTCTGGTCCTCTCGCGATTAATTCCAGGCCTTGGTTCGTGCAGGGAGAGACAAAGAAGACCTGGTTGTCCCAACGTCGGGGGGCAGGTACGACGTGCATCTGAAGAAGAGGCAGCGTGTCGCAGTCTACTGGGAGGAGGAGGTATCTGAAGTGCGTCGCTGCACCTGGTTTTACAAGGGAGACAAGGACAACAAGTATATTCCCTACTCGGAGACCTTCAGCGAGGAACTGGAGGTAAACACGCCTTTCCTGGTAGCATCCATCTTGCCGAGAAGCACCTTGGCTTCTCGTTGTCAAATACTGGCCTCCGATGTCCCAAACTCCCGCTGGCACCAGTCACACCCGAGGACGTGAACTCGAAAGAAGCTTTGGTGGGCGTTTTCACAGCTGATTAACATAACCGCAAACACTGCCACCGTCTCCCCCCCTCCGCCTGCTACGGCCGGGCGACCTCCCCTTCCTCCTGCCCTCGTCCAGCCGTGTCGGCATCCTTCTCCTTCAGCACACCACGCAGCTCCGGCATTGCTTGCAGCCTGGCTCTAGCAGCTTTGCTCTGTTGTTTTTTTTTTTTTCCTGACCCTGTCTGCTCACAGCTTGACTCTCCTCGTGAGACTCATCCTCCCTGCGCTCGTAGTTTGACCAAACCAAGGGAGCTGTGAATGCAAGAAGGAGGAATCGTCGTTTCGGGGACCCACTGAACACTCTGTAGTGTTAGAGACTTCAGAGGTCTGCACTGCTAACAGCTGGAGACCTTTCTTTGGAAAGACACACGTGTAGAGATATATAGATAGATGTATAAATATATACATATAGATAGATAGATGTATTCTGATGTAACAAAAAAATACAATTCTAAATTGATGGGGAAGTCTGCTGCTGCTATTAAAGCAGGGGCTTCTTGGAAACTCTCTAGCAGGTGATGCTCAGGTGACCCTGTTGCTCCTCCAGCTTGACCTGGCCGATTTCTCTGCCTCTTTCGCAAAGCGTGTTGATAAGAGATACCGTGAAATGGGCGGGGGTTGTCCAGCCGGTCGAATACCTTCAGGTGACTCACAGAGGGTGTTTTTTTCCGTAGGAAGCTTACATGATTGCTGTGACCTTGGATGAGTGGAAGAAGAAACTGGAGTCCCCTAGCAGGGAAATCATTATTTTGCACAACCCAAAGGTGAGGAGGGCCTGGTGATCTTTGTGTTGACCGGCAAGGACATCCCGTCAGTTCCCTTGAGGGCCTGCCCTTGTGCTGGCTTTGTGCTGTTGCTTTTACCCCTGTCCGCTGAGAAATCAGTTCTGTCCAAACGGCATTGCCCTCGCCTGCCTGCGCCAGAGCAGAGGGCAATGCCAGCAGAGCGCCTGCTTCGCACCCCAACGTTTCTTTCCAACACGCTCCCTTTGTGCCAAGGGCTCGTACCAGCGCAGTTAAACATCGCGGTCTGGTGCCGCCCCGTATCACCTACCAGCTGTTGTAGCAAAACTTCTCCCCTGCTTAACCACGGCACGCAGCACAGCTTAATGACAGGCTCTTCTTGTTTACAAGCTGATGGTGCACTACCATCCGGTTGCCACCTCCGATGACTGGGGCTCAACTCCTACGGAACAAGGTCGACCTCGGACTGTGAAGAGAGGCGTAGAAAACATCGCTGCCGAGATCCCCAATGGTGAGCTCGCTTCTCCCTCCCTTCCACACATCCAAAGCTGTAGAGTCTCTTTTCCAACCTGTTTTCTCAAAAAAGACCGACAGAAGCTTCCCTGATCTCTTAAATGAAGGGCACATCTAAAAATTTTGTGCCGAAAGGAACCGAATGGTTTTCAGAAACCTTCCTAGCAGCGTAAATGAACGTGCAGAGGCAGCAGACACACGGGGAGAAGGCAGCGTGCTTCCAGCTCCTGCGCCGAGACCGGAGCTGTTGAAAGCACCGCAGAGCGTGAAATCACCCCTGAGGTCTTAGCGTCTGCGTTCGTAAAGGAGGACACTTTCTTGCCCTAGGAGGGACACAGGGGTTTATCACTTACCTACGTGCCAGGGACTTTCTGGGGCA